ATATATATTCTGCACACCTGCCCCGATTATGTAACACTTTTACACATGGCTTCCCCACACAGTTTCTTGGACTCTGGTGACAATGATCCAGAGCTATTTTGAAGCAACAGTTCGGATGCCAGACTACACTACAGTATCTGAAACACCACCATGCGGAAAACAGCTAAGTCCCATGTTATCATGGTAAGCAAAGCTGCGTTGAGTTTAGTTGGATGCACAGATTAGCGATAGCTTCAGAAAAGCGGCATACGCTCGATTCTTAGTTGTCAGCACAGTGGCAGGGTTTTCTGTAATGTAAGTATACTATGTTTTTTTAAACGTTGGGGTTGATAAATGTATGTCACAGGCATGATATTAAGATCTAAGAATTGTTTAAAACATTAAAACGGGACTCTTATAATGTTGAAGTCTTCTAACATATTTTTTCCCATTTCTCTGTCCCCTCTCAAACCTTCTGTGCAACTGCGGTTTCCAATAAATACATACACTATACATAACCAAAGAGGGACAATATCAAACTCTCTTGTTGCACACGAAAAGTGTTAATCATGCAAAGGTATAGGCCTACATATCCTCCATTGTGCATGCCCAAGCAGTCAAACAGGACAGGTTAGAAAAAAATGAGGAAAAAGCACATGGCTTGACATTAACAAAACTTTGACCATAGAATTTGCTGTATATTTGAATCTCATGTTTTCTACAGAGTATCAGCATGGCCTTGGCTGTCCTCACACGCCAAAAATTTCATTTTTTTTTTTTTTGTTTTTGTTTTTGTGATGACAAAAGCCAATTGAAGCAAAAATTACTGGCCTGTGCGGGGGAAGTGGTGGACAATAAAGCACAAAAAAAATCGTTTGACATCTCTTCGGCTGTGCTACAAAGTGAGTGGCACTTGCGTGAAATGCCACCGCTGCGTTCGTGGGCAGAGCAGGCTTTTAAATGTGATGTTTGGGCGCCGTTCCTTCAGGTGACAGGAGAGATGGCAGCGATGCCAGGAATGGCTGACGGCTATGTGGGCACGCAAGCGAGGCCATTTGGGTTTTTAATGAGCGCTTCCGACGACGTGTGTGTCACTTGCTGATAGAAGTAGTGGTGGTGGTGTGTGTGTGTGTGTGGGAGGGGGTGTGGGGGCTCATAGCACGCCCATTACTACAGTCTGGGAGAAAGTAAGGAGCACAAATGAGGGCTTGCTCTTAAGGCAGCAATAAATCCTGTTTTAATGGTGGACCACAAGCACTTGCATGTCCTCAGCAGTCTTGTGTTTGATGCCAAATTGTGCAGAATAAACAGATTCATTGTGCAGCCGTTCCATGCACACACTTTCCCATTGTGACTTGCATGTTTTTTTTTGCTCTCCCCCATACACCATATTCCCCATTCATTGCTCTTGCACAAGAATTTGAAGAACTGTCACAAAAATGACAAGTGCTTTGATGCTGTTTTTCCCCTCGCCACACCGCTAAGCTGAGCGCTAATACAAGATGTCATTCACACACCAGCATTTTATTTTAAAGGGAGATGCAAGCTACGTTGCAATCAAGACAACACCGTCCTACATTGCTCCCTTTTTGTTTTGCACTTGATGAAACTTTGATCATTCAGAGTAGTCTTAGCAGACAAGCCGTCCACATACATGAACGCCATTGACTTTAGTTTTTCTCTTCCGAATTATGAATGTTATTCACATGCCAAGTCCTTACATGTCAATGCCCATATAAACAAATGAAAATCCCTGTAAGTGCAGGTGGACTTTGGCGTGTTCCTTTTCAGATGAATGCTTCCCTGTTCTTGTGATTGAATGTGAATGTTTGTGCAAGCGTGCGTGATATGGAATAGCGCAGTCTGCATGAATGGCGGTATTCCCCCCCCCCTTTTTTTTTCCTTTTTTCATGGACTGTATGTGAGTCTATTTCAGATTGTTGTTTTTTTTCTGCGTGGATAGTCACTTGTCCATAAGTAGCATTTTTATGTCCTCATATATACATCGATCTTTTAAACACACGTAACCCAATGTCATCATATTATTTTTAGTGGTCTCATTTCGTTAGTGTCACTTGTCAGGGTCGAACAGCACCACTGCCATTACCAATCGCTGATGTCACTTCAGTTTAGAGTTCAAGTCTGATGTAACATCTTTCTTACACAGTGCGTTCCACAGCAAAAAGGATTTTGAGCTCTTAGTGTGATGGCAAAGGAGGTTCTCTTGGACTAACGGACATCGTTCAGCAGCAGTCAACAACATTGCACCTAGGCAAGAATTCCTGAGACCTGATACAACAAAGCTACAACACTCAATTTCCATTATAATACCAGTATATGTGACCTAATGAAGTTATGTGGGATGGCCCCAGAATTCTTCCTCCGTAAACCGCAGTCACCCCCCTCCCCCCCTTCAATGGCATCATTTATATGCAAGTGGCAATGGCAGTTTCTTATCATTCCTCCCAAATGAAATTTTAATTAGGAATGATAAGATTTTCCTTTGAAGGGCTGCAGATATGACAGCTGTCAACTTCTTTGCCTCAACTCCCCCGGGAGGAACTCTTGATATTGGGTAGTACATAGTGCATAAATCGAGACACTTCTGATTACCTGTTAATAAATATAGGGATCTTGTTCACACTTCAATCCAAGCTGTCCACAACTGTTTTGATAGGGAGACCAAGATATGATTGTTTTGAGCACATCCCACAATAATCACGTGGCTGACAGTCAGTTTACTTTCTTGACATTTTTTGGGTCCTGTGCGAAAGACGAATAAACAATGGATCTGAATGCGCCACTTTTGTGGATGCTCTGCGTAAAATGTCGCATCCAAGGGTCCCTTTCAATTCAACCAGGGAGGGTGGTTGGAAGAAAGGGAAGTAAGTCATCTTGCCTTACTGTTGCGACTCACACCGGCATAAGCGCATGAAAATGTATTTACTTAGAATATAGCTCGAGCTTGTTTTCAATGATTAAACAAGTGCTTAATGTGTTTTATTTCAGATATGACCTGATTTCACTGTGAAAATTTTGTGTGGGTAAAGTAATTGCACAATTGATGGCCAGGAAGGAACTCCAGCAACCCAGCTATTCGTGTACAAACCTTTAAAAAGTCATTTTTCCTCATGTTACCTTTAACTCATGGGTATATTCAAGTCCATGTGACGTTTCTGTCAATAATATACAGTTGTGAAGTCCACGAATACAACACTGTGCGTGCATGCGTGCGTTTGTGTGACTTCATTGTCTTCTTCATATTTAACTAATTCTTAGTGTGGTGAAAAGTTGTCAAAAGACACGACGAGTGTCACATCTTGACGAAGACGCAGCCTTTGTTTTAATGAAGCATCGTGACTGACACCTGTGTTTCTGCGTTCCACCCTTGTGTTATCCTCCTTCCCAGCTGTTGCTTGTCAATCATGTTTTGTTTTTTTTCTTGCCTCTGTGTCTCAAAATAGAACCTCATGCGTACGGCCGCCTCGGCTGTTCGCTGACCCGCCATGCAAACGACTAATAAATTATGTTCATTTTTATTTAGGTTAATCACTTTGACACTGAGAAATTGCGTCGAAGACTTCGAAGGGGGGTTGTAATGATGCATTTTGCATAATTCCGGGTATTTCAAATTCTGTTGACCTTGAACTTCAAGAGAGAGAGGGGGGGGTGTTTCTCTAGTTTTATACTGATGTCGTGACCAGCGTCATTATTTGTACTTTGAATGAAAATTTTATAAAAATATGTATTCACCCTAACTTTGTACTGTTTTCAGGTTATGCTATATTACAATATTTTCAAGACGCAACTTCTATGTGTTCTACCATTTATGACGGCGAGCATATGACTCTCATGTTGCCTACACATAAGCCAACATAAAACAGTGCGTAACTCTTGTTCTGATGTCTTACTCAGTTCCCATGAGAACAGGACAAGTCCAGACTGAGACACACTTGTGAGCGAGGTGAGGCACGAGTGCAGCAGCCTCGCGCAAACAGAATCTGTGACAGATTTCCAACTGTGCTTGCTCCTGTGCAAACTCTGCCATGCTGTCCAAATGTCTGTACTGAAGGCCAAAAGAAGAGCCTGCAGATGGCCAAACATTTCAAAGAGATGCCTCCATCCAACCATTTTCTATACCGCTTATCCTCACTCGCTGGAGCCTATCCCAGCCGACTTGCGCGAGAGGCAGCGTATGCACTGGACTCTTCAGTTCACCTCGTAGATATGTTTTTGCAATGTGGAGGAAGTCAGAGAAAAGCATCGGCCATGGGAAACATGGAAACTCCACACAGGAAGGACAGAATTGTGATGCAGATGGAATATAGTGCAAGATAATAAAATACTGTAGTTCGGATACACTGTCTGATACCTGTGTGCGCCTATTCCCATTCTCAGCGTCATTTCACCGCACTCACCTCTGAACCTTCAAACAATTAAACCTCATCACGTAAAAGCTGTGTATTTGAAGACTTGACGTTCTTTCGTGAACTTTGGAATTATTCTCGTGCAGAGGAGTGAGGTGAAAAGGTTTGCACTCAGTGTGAATTCATATCTGGCAATGCAATGTATCTCTTCTGCTCTTCCAATACCAGCAGCAACTCTCTTCTTCCCTCTCTCTTAGAAATGTCCAAGTACTGAGTAGAAATTGGACCATTTGTGGCCTCTGATGCCAATGTATAATTCTCGGCTGTCGACAGGAGGAACTACAGTATTTCACGCCAAACTTAATTAGTGCTCTCTGTAGAATGGACGGAGAGCAGACAAGGTCAGAGTTCAACACTGGCCTTTCAGTAGCTAATTGGCTGAGCTTGAGATTCCTCCCAGAAGGTCTTCTCATTAGTCTTCAACTTTCCGTCTTTCGTCTTCTTCTGGTCACGGCTGGTGTAGCTGCTGACTGACCCTGATACACTGCGTGTGTCATCCAAACCAGTTGAACACGATTCATTTTCCATCCTTTTATTTGAAACACTGAATCCAATGAAATCGACTCGAGAAGAGCATTTACAGTATATTTGACCACTAAGTACTATTCATAGACTAAACTCATTGTCAAAGTTGTGTATCTTTTGAAAGTGGAATTTACTCCTTGTCTTTGTAAAATGACAAGGATTAAAAAAAAAAAAAATGGAGTGACCTTTACCATATCTACCGCAGGGGTGGAAAAACAGGGTTAGAGCCCCCTCAGAACCAGATTAATCTTGGCTTACGTTGGGCTCCTTTCCATCTTCGCTAAAGGGAAATTTTGAAGTGACCAAAAGGTCCAAAGCTAATCCTCCTGCAGTCAGGTTGCAGGGACAAGTTGGGAGATAAGACTGGGACACAGATAAGACCCGAGACCCCAGAAGCAGAATCACAAGCTATAAAAGGTGGGAGATCTGTGGTCCTGATAGAAAATGAAAGGTTCCGCAGCTCTGGGGCCAAGCCTCCAGGAAAATTAATCACATCGAGGCCCGCATTACATCTTCCCCGGCAGCTGAGGACATCCTTGGATGGTGATTGTGACAAGAGGGGTTGTGTGTCAACAAAAAAGGGTTAAATAGAAGCCACATGTTAGAAGGTGCCACAGCAAATCCCTCTTCATCTTTTATTCACACCACTTTCTCCCTTTGCTCTTCATATACTTGACGCTGATGTGCTACCCTTTGACATCATGTTTTGAAGAAATGACGTAACTGCAATTGGAGTGCTTCAATAAAGTAGAAAATGCCTACTGGTATTCATCAGTTGTTCATGCCAAAGAGGCCCATTTGGACTCTTTCTTTACCTTGAAGGCTCAGGTTGATATGCACCTTGCTAAAAGTATGTAGTGCTCTCATTCTCCAGACGGCTTGCATCTACTTGGTGCAGCTTTCATACTGCTCCCACAGGGGCTTATTAGAAGGAATGGTTTGACTTCCTACTACCTCAGCACACTACTTTACCCTCTATACAGCACAAAAACCAATGGAGTGAATGGGAGAGCGATTCACAATTACCAGGCTCGTGTTGCCTCCCTCAGACACCGCAGTGGGTCTGCAGCAGATTCTGTGTGGTTTGCATGAAAAACAGATTTCAAAGAAAGGAATTATGAATGAGATTTAACATGTCATGTACTATATGTACTCTGTGAATTTAGAGCAGCGAACGAGTTGCAAACGGTTTTGTTAAACTTGTTAGCTGGCAATTATGCACGAATGGTCGATGGGCTGCATTTATAGAACTTTTTTTTCCACCTTCTTTATACATTTAGAACAGAAGGCAGCAATGATGACCAGCATCCAGGCACCGTTCAAATCTTTTCTTTGTCATAATAGCGGTCATTGAATCATGCTTAGTCTGGTCCCTCACCTCGCACCTGTTTACCATGGACGATCTTGGCAAGGGTATAAAGGCCCAGACAGTTTAGCTCCTGGGATCTTTGGGACACATAAAACCCGCCACCACGATAAGGTGACGGCACAGGGGGGGGAGCTCATGGGAATTTCGGCAGTAAAATTCATAGTTACTGTAAGCCATTTCCCTTGTCTGGATAATGGGATTTGGTGTGCATTCTGGTTAATTGGACATCAAAAATAGCATATACAGCATGTATGAGATGAGAATTCTGAGCATACGTCATCACAGTCCAGCCTACTGCTCTTACCCCCCATTAGATACTTCATTGTTGGCCAAGAAAGGCTTTTAATTCCATTTCTCACTTTAATTTGCAAAGGGAGATTTTACAAGTAGTCATTTTATTTCCACTAGCGGACCCCATGCTTTGAGCCGCTAATTATCAGAGCCTTAATGAGAACACAATAGTGAGTCTGGAGGACTTCATTGCAATCTGTCTTCTTACAGGGGCAATTGAGACCAGTTTGAACTTAACAGCTATTAAAAGGTCAAGCACTACAGTTGTGGTGCAAGTCGAACTCTCTAAAGGTCAGTCCATTTGCAATTCAATCAAAAATGTCTGTAATATTTTCTGCATATTAACTTATATAAGTTGCTAAAAGTTTTTCTTTTCAGTCTCCAAAACAACATGGTACAACAGTAGCATGTAAATAACCACGTCGACTATGCTCTGTGCTGCTCACCACAATATACAGTAAATCAGTCTTTGGTTTGTGTTCTAGAATTTTGTACTTTAGTAGTAGTAGCAGATAAAATGTACAGCATCTCCTAACCATAGCTAAGCCTCACTTGCCAAACGGAGCTGATATTGCGCGATGAAAAAGTCAACATACTAGAAGCTGAATCGGATGTCTGTTCGGAGACGTGGGTGCTTCTGCATGCACGCCACTATGTCTGTCACATGTAGTCAAAGTTTTGACACATATTGTTTCAAATTTTTATGACGAGTGGTTCATGTAAGTGTTTAAGGTTTAATGAAACAGGGTCTATTCCTTTTAGTCTTCCAAATCAAGAGGTCACATCATAAAAACAAACTCGCAACTTTGGCCATGCCCATTTCTCCATGGCTCCGTATCTCATAGCGGGAAAGGGAAAGGAAAAAAAAAAGAGTGTGGGAGGGATTGGGCCATTGTATCCAGAGGAGAAGGGTGATAAGGAAGTAAGAAACAAGTTCCATTCGCACCAATCCATTTTTTGAGACAGATATTTTTGACAATTAATTGATAAGTAATAAATATGCGGTGGCACGATGGTCAACTGCTTAGCACGTCGGCCTCACAGTGCAGAGATGCAGGGTTCGATTCCGGGTCCTACTGGTCTTCCTGTGTTGAGTTTGCTGTTCTCCCCATGCTGATGTGGGTTTTCTCCAGGTACTCCAGTTTCCTCCCACATTCCAAAAACATGCATGGCAGGCTGAGTGAACACTCTAAATTGGCCCGAGGGGTGATAAGTGTTTAAGGTTTAATGAAACAGGGTCTATTCCTTTTAGTCTTCCAAATCAAGAGGTCACATCATAAAAACAAACTCGCAACTTTGGCCATGCCCATTTCTCCATGGTTCCATATCTCATAGCGGGAAAGGGAAAGGAAAAAAAAAAATAGCATCAGCACGCCGCCTCTGCCAGTCTGTTGGATTTGAAGTTTATTAAGTATATCAAACCGGAGCCGGCTCCCTCAGGGGACATTTGCAATCCAAAGCTCCACTCGCTGTTGCTTCCGCTAGCATCAAGCTGTCACAAACACTCTGCTTAATTTGCAAAGCAGCACTCATTGGAGGGGTGAAGGGGTGGGTGTTGGTGTGTCCCGTGTGGTTGGGGGCTGGGTCACAGTGCAGAGATGCAGGGTTCGATTCCGGGTCCTACTGGCCTTCCTGTGTTGAGTTTGCTGTTCTCCCCATGCTGATGTGGGTTTTCTCCAGGTACTCCAGTTTCCTCCCACATTCCAAAAACATGCATGGCAGGCTGAGTGAACACTCTAAATTGGCCCGAGGTGTGATTTTTGAGCGTGAATGGTCGTTTGTCTATATGTGCCCTGCGACTGGCTGGCAACCAGTTCAGGTTTACCCCTGATTTTTCAAATGAAAAATGATAAGTCTGCCATAATGATTGCTGTCTATCACCATATTGCATCAAAAATAAACGAATATTGTGCTTGAAAAGACAGATACAGCCTCATCAAAGTTGAAGCATAACAAGAATGCCAATATCATAACTTCTGTGTTATTAGCAATTTTTAACGTGAAAATATAGAAGCTCTCAAAACAGAAAAAAGACCCAACTCGGAAAAAAATCTATCCATTTTCAGATTCAACACCGTCAAAATATGCTGAAACCGTTGAAACATTCTTGGCACCAAAATGTGTGTCGACCAGTGTTATGAATTTGGATCCTCTCCGCCTCACAAATCAACTGCATGCAAATTTCCAGTTGCCTTCTGACACGCTCACAAACTGAGAACCGATCAACTACAAAAAGACAGGCTGTCCTAGCTTCCATACAAGATATACAATTTATCATCAGGAAAACATGTAGCGGGGGTTAAGGTGGAAGAGCTTTCCATCTGGTCTCACTACAGCAGCTACTATTCAGTATGCTCTACCTGGGCTCATTTCACCCTCCAGCAGACAGGAGAGTCTATATGGGCCCCCTCAGTGAAAGACCCGAGGCGCTCCCACCCACACCGGCGCTCCCCTGGCCGCCTGAGGGCCGGCGAAGACTGACAGGGCCAACAGGACAGAGAGTTATATCTCCAGATGTGCTCACGCTTGTCATTACCGCAGCAAGCTCATGCGCTTATGTCGGATTTGTCCGTCGCACTTGCAGTACTCAACATGCAAGTGTAACATCTCAACAACAACTCAATACAATAAGAGAATAGAACTTTTGATGTTGTAAAAATGGGATTTTACGCCCGCTCCGGAATTAAACAATTCATTACCGGCTTTCTTTTTATAACTATAGACTAATTATATTAGCCATGATGTCATAAGACTGCTGCGCTGGGTGCATAGTGTAAATGAATGGACTTAAAGTGATTCGGCGAAGCGGGAAGGCAATTTATAAGGCTGTGGAGCAGAACTCCTACAATAGCTCGAGGTCATGGTGCTGACACAAGCAATGATCCTGCAGGATGGTGTCACTCGCCGGACATTAGTCATTTGGGATGGAAAAATGTCTGACAAGCTCATTTCTGCTGTCTTTAATCAAATGCTAATTTAACCACAGTCAAAGATTTTTTTTTTTTTGTTCTTGCCTCCTATCCTTTTGGAATTACACAGGTGAAATTTTGCCTGATTACGCTAAATTCAGTTTACACTAAATGGCTACACTATGAGGTGCAATTGAAAAAAATTCAGGAGTGATCCACTACAAAAGCCATGTAAATAATTCTGCATATCTTGATAATAATTTTTTTTTTTTTTTGGTGGTTTCTCATTGGACTGCAGTGATGTAGAACTTCCTACACATATTTCCTGCAGAAGACCAGAGGCTGCAGGTTTTGGCAGGGATCGAAATATAAGATGACCCCCCCCCCCACCCCACCCCACCCCAACAACAAAACAAGAATAAAAAAGCCTTTTTTGAGAAATTCCTTGCCACGATGACCCTTTCTTCAAGTTTGCTTCAGCATTTGTGTCACACATGCAAACGTAGAAGTGACACACACTAAACCAGTTTGTGCTAGCTTCGCTCTGCTTTTGCTCCCAATAGCAAAGTGCCATTTGACATGCCTTTCTTTGATCTCTCAAAATCACAAGTATCCTTGTCTTTCAATGACACACATGCACAGTACACACACACACACACAAATGCGCACTCACTTGTGCCGGAAGCCACAGCTGGCACTGAATTAAAAAAAAGAAGAAAAAAAAGAGAAGGGTAGTCATGTTGAATGAAGAACAGCAAAAGGGGGAAACTGGAATAGATTCAAAGGGAGCTCTGAATGACAATGTGCACAAATACATCTGAATTTCAATACATGAATCGTAATGATTTCCTAGCAGCTGTTCAAGTATACAAAAATCAAGGTTTAAATATGTTACTAGTTCCAGCGTTAGATTTATTCTAATGTGCAAGAAAAACAAATTAACAATTCAATTAATGTATTGACAGTGCTGCTCCCTTTGATCCACGTCATGGGTGCCAATTTGCGTATGCCAAAATCGACACCGCACTCACCATGAGTGAGTGCGCTCGTTTTCTTTGTTTTGCGTGAGCAACCTAAGGCAAGGGCCTTGCTTTCTATTTATGTCCCAATTATGCATTGCTTTGAAACACCTACAGCTAGCACCATACGGTATTTAGCATGTGCAATGTAACACATTGATTTAATTCTACACATATTGGCTCAAAATAGAAACTCTCTGTTATGCAAAATGTGCTCTGCATTTTCATCGATAATGTTGCCTCACAATCAATTTACGCGACCGTTCCTTTATTATGCAGAAGTCCTCTACAAAAAGCTGCGTTCTGTGTTTCACTTTTAAACCCCGAAGTAAAAGATTGTTCCTGAAGCTCAGTCTTAAGCCTGTTGCACAGAGTGATGCGCCCGAACGTGACTGCACTGTCACTCAGGGGAACGGGTTTTTACGAGTGGCTGACTCTCAGCCACAAGTTATGCTGCAATTAAAAATTTGTAACACAGGTGAACGACATTATATACGTACTGTATGTATACACACATAGCGACATGTTTGTACTTTAGAAAAATGAGTTGCCCGAAAAGAAAAAAAATCACATGAAGTCACTTGCATATTTACTACACAGATATTATTATTCCCTCCCATGACTGTTTTGAGTTGTCATCAGACATCAACAAATGTTCATGAGCATTTATCACGCATCAGTGGAAGCCACTTGACCCAAAGTTGGGGCAAAAAGATGGGAGTTGATGGGAAGCCTCTCACTCCCGCATGCTGTTTGGAGTGGCAAGCTACGCCGTTTGCTTGGAGCTGTTTTTTTTTTTTTGCATCGGTGACACCAATGCTTGCATTAATGCGTAACCATCACTCTCTGCTGCATCTAAATGTTTCATTACAGCCTGAGCGCAGACACAATTTCGCGGCCTATATGGGGTCGCTCACCAGCTAGCGTGCTCTCTTGAGGGAAAAGTAAAGCATGACAAATTGGAATAAATGAGAGACGAAGAGAGGAGAAGAGACGCAAACGGGGGAGCAGGACGATGAGGCCTTTTCTCCATATGCTTGTGCAAGGGGAGTATTTTTCCTAATATCTCTGTTTCTATCTCCTGGCAATTGAAAACCTCCCCCCCCTTTCCTCAATTTTTTTTAATTTTTTTCAATCCATCTATATTAGGACTGACCAGCCGATCTCTATCACTTCTCTTGATACTTTCATCAAGAGACTGGAATTGGATAAAAATAGAATTTTGTGACGAACATGACCCAAAATATGGATATTTTCTCATTCACAGCAGGTAACAAAATACTTTAAACTTCATTTTTAACACTTTAATACTTTTGTAACAGTATTAGCGCATTGATCATTGCAGCTCCAGCTCTCTACATAC